CAGGCTCTTATGCTGCCCAAGGGGTATCCTTTTAAGGCCTTTCAATAAACACCGATTTTGTCCATTTAGCTCTGTCTAGTCTCTGTTCATATCAACCTTTCTGGCATCAGTCACATAACCTTAGAGATGGGAAACCACTGTTGCCAAGGCCTGGAAAATCATAGAAAGTGAAAGAACATTTATCACACCCAAATTAAGCTTAATATTTCCTTCTGTTCAACAAGGGACAGGAACACAGTCAAACTTTCTATCAATTTTTTCTTAACTAAAGATTGGACCTCAGTCTTCTTTTTGAACAACTGTCATTCAGTTTGGCCAGAAACTTCTAACTACTGTAATAGGCCATATTTTTCATGACCTCCAGCTCTCCTCTGATACCTCTCACATTTGTATGTGGATTTCTTAAAGAGATCCCAGTGCCCACAATCTACTGCAGTAGTCTAGCAGAGACTTTAAAAGCACCAAGCACAGGAGAGAATTTCCCTTCTGTGTTTTACATGCAGAACTCCTGTTCATACACTGCAAAAGGAAACCTGAAGTGTTTGAATTGGCATTCTCTCATAAGTTCACGGCTCAGTCTTCAGACCATTTTACACCTTTTTTGATTAAATAGCAGCACTGCAAAGGGGTAACATATACAACAGGAAGATCTATTTTTCTCTTTTATTTTCCAGGAATAAGCAGCAGTGACTCTTCAATAGGCACAAAATTGTGATGTACAGCTCAAAGTTCTCAGAACTTAGCTGTATGCAGTAGATTTTGTAATTTTCTGAAGTACTTAAAAACAGCTTCCTTTTTTGTTTTTATTCACACATGTCTAGGACACAGTCGAGCTATCTATAGCTGTCTGATCTACAATTCCTTAATTGTCCTCAAGTTTTAAATTTAATGGCTTTAAATTACCCTTTAGTCAAAGGTAATCACCCTCCTAGTCTAGCAAGACTAAAGATGACATTTTGCCCACTGTATAAAATTGTTTTCTTATACATGTTTCAGCAGCAAAATGAAAAGCAAAACACAAAACTATGACTGTGGAAGCACCATTCTTTTATCACCTTGTATTGACCAGCCAGGTGTCGCAGAAAATGAAGGCCTTTGTCGGGGACGAGCCATTTGTCGGTGAGGGGAGACTCGGACACTCCATATGAGTGATAAGCAAGGTCCGTTTATTGAAGAGAGCATCAGACACTTACACAGCGAGTAATAAGCTTATGAATATTCTGTAAGCTAAGCAATCTATTGGTTAAACTATACTATCAACTCTTCCTCATTCCCTAGGGGTTACATCTCTCTTTTCTCATGTCTCTTTCACTGTTTGTTATCCTACCACAGCTAGGCCCAAGGACACTGCTATCTGTGCAGGTGAAGGACTTGGAATTAGCCATGGTTTTGTACTTTTCCATTTTCTAGCAGCTAAATTCCCAACAGCCAGGGAAACAGGATCAACTGGCACACTGCACTGTGAACCTCCCAATCGAGCAGGGCCCATCCAATGATCTGCAGGCCAACTTCAGTCCGACAAACCCTTCCACCCATCCCAAACCCTTGGCTTAGAGGAGACTCAACCACTGTAAACAGCTAAACAGCACCAAGCAGCCAAAGTGGCAAGCTCCTCACAAAAGAGTTCCTGACATACTGGGCTTGTTTTGAGCCCACCTACAGACACTGGTGACAGTCTCTCCTGCACGGTCGAAACTACATCAGAATGTCACAGACTTGGGAATCAAGAAAAAAACCATCAGGATCTGTTTCCTGATGTTTCCAAGGATGGAATCTCTTGTCCTTGCGTTAAAGTTTGTGCATCCTACACCTACTGTAAAAAGCTCAGTAAAGATTTTGGGTACATTTGTCTTCCACCCTCTCATAATAAAATGAGAGGAGAGAAGGTTTGGAGAAAGAACTATATTCAGGGTATTCTATCTGTATCAAAATCCATCAAAAGAAGGCAAATGCAATTCCAGGACATCTTCAGGACACCTGAAGTTAAAAGTTCCGTAACAGACAAGTATATTTTGGAAGCAACCATAAAACCCAAAACAATGGAATAGGTAGGAAACAGACAAAAGATACACATATCTTGTGTGTTTATATACATATAAATAATCTCAAAAAACCCAAAACCACAAACGCAACTCATCAGTACAGCTATGGATTGAAGGGTAAATTTGGGGGTGAGTAGGTTGGCTCCTACAACAATGCTGGAAATAATGGCCTATTTTTTCAGACATTGCAGAAGGAACTGACTACAGGACAACTGTAGAGACAAAATCACGGAGGAAGGTAGATGTCTGTCCTGATTTCAGCTAGGATAAAATTCTTCCCAGCTGCTGGTAACAGTGTTTTGTAGCTGGTACAAAACAAATGTTTTGTGCATCACCTGGATCTCTATTTCTCTCCTTTCTATACAAACACTGTTATAGCACACTCTATTTTTCATCAGTTATTAAAGTGTTCCTATCACAACCCACAAGGTACACTTTTTTCCCCTGAACTCTCCACCCAGCCAGTCTGTGGATGTGGTGTGTGAGTGGCTGCCTGGGGTTAAAACAAAACCCCTTGTTTGTAAAAAAAAGCAACCAAACATAAAACCCCCACAATCTTGAAAGCACAGGTAAGAATGAAATAGACACTAAATAACATTGAAACTAGTCCACAGGTAAGATGGACTTCTTTCACTATTAAAGTTATGGCACTGTTATAGATAGATATTTTTCAGAAAGTGAAACTGAGTACTAAAAGTAACCACAGGAAAGTACTCATGCCATTGATCAAAAAGTACTTCAGCTACACTAATCAGATGAGTCCAGTTTCAAACCCTAAAACCATATATCAAAGAAAAGAATTATCTTCCAATAACAGTGGCAAACAAATGGATTCCCTTCCAGAAGAAGTACAATAAAAAGTTCCAATTTTGTAATCACAGATGAGATTAATTCAGATGATAGCTCATGAATTCTTATTTGTCCAGAATTAGTTTGCATAGCACATCTATGAAACAATCTTATAATTACTAACATACTTCTGAGTATTGAAAAAAAAAAACAAACAAAACCAACAAACAACAACAAAAAACCCTCAAACCAACTAAATCTCCCACAGAATTAGTGTTTTGTGCAAGACAGACAGATTGTTGTCAGGTTGTTACTGTTCAACAACAAAAGAATAAAGGAAGTACTTTCTACACTGGATGTACAACTAGCAAAATAAAAACACCAAGAGTCATGCCTCTCATTCCTCCATTACTACATACTGCTTTAAGCTTAGCCATCTGACCTCCAAGAAACTCCTGCATCCCGAATACTTATTCCCAAAATTTAAAGGCACACTCACATCAGACTATGGAAAACATCACCGGCTCAGTCCCAGCTAGACTCCTCTTTTCAGCTAAAGTTTAGTTGAAAGAAGTCAGGATAGTGGTCAAAAGAGCAGCTTAAAAATGGAAAGTACTTCGAAAGGAGAACAGTATTAAAGGAACAGAGAGAGAGCAAAAGGGACAGGAGAGGCGACAGTTCCTCGGATATACAGCGTAGGACGTTATGCAAGCATATAATTCAAGAAGGCTGCAAACACTGTGGAACTACTAAGGCCAGAATTGATCCACAATACGCAGCAATACAAGCTGTTTAATAATCAACACTGAAAACTTGTCTGTGTAGCTCCAACGCCCAGGGAAGCTCTAAATACAGCGACAGGCCCCTTGGCCAGTACTACACCAGTAGTAAAAGTCGACTTGTAAAAAAGGGAACCTTACGAAGTTAACGGCTACAGTCAAAACATTTACGAGACAGCTTCTGGGGCTGATTTGTGTGTCTGCATCTCCAGGTAATGTCTCACAACGCTGTTTCCAAGGACAAAAAAAAAATGAGGTCGCAGAACGGGACACAGACAACACCCCAGAACCCTATCCATCCCCCCAAAGCCAGGCGCTGAGGCAGCTCCGAACTGGCCCGGCCTCCTCCGGCTCCCCCCTGCGCTGAGTCCGCCCGGCAACAGCGGCACCCCGGGGGCTGGCACAGGCCCTTCCCAAATCCTCAACGAGAGGCTGGCATGTCCATCCCCCCATTCCGACCCACCTTGAGGAGGATGGAAGGCGGCAGCTGGTTGATGTCCGCGGTGGGCGGCAGCGACAGCTCCCGGCAGCTGTCGCCGGGATACTCCAGCGGCTCCTCGCAGCCCGCCTCGCCGCCCCGGTCCTTCTCCTCCTCCCGGCCCTGCTCCTTCTCATCCTGGGACGCGGGAGGCGGCGGCGAGGCGGGCTGTCCGCCGCCGCTCTGCCCGGCGGTGACCCCGCCGCTCTCGCCCGCGGTGCCGGGCAGGGCGAGGAGCTGCGGCTCCGCCGGGCATTGGCAGGCGCCGGGCTCGGGCTCGGCGGCGGCGCAGCGCGGCTGCTTGCAGGGCGGGCAGGCGGGCAGCCCGGCCCCCTTGCGCTTGCACACCATCTCGGAGGAGACCTCGCCGGGCGGCCCCAGGAGGCCCCGCACCGGCGAGGGCAGCAGGCCGGAGAGGAAAAGGCGCTGGCAGCGGCCCGGAGGTTCCCAGGCGGCGGGCGCCAGGCGCAGGAGGCGGCGGGCGACGCGCTGCTCCGCGGCGGTCAGCGACACGTAGGGCGGCGGCGGCGGCAGCAGCGGGTCCCCGGCGGGCAGAGGCTGCTCCGGGGCGGGCGGGCTGGCGCCGTGCACGATGAAGCAGAGCATGCAGGGCCCGCGCAGGAAGCAGCTCCGGCTGCGCGGCGGCGGCACCTTCCCCCGCGGGCGGCGACGATCCCGACTTAGGCTCCTTGCCTCCTTCGAGAGCAGGTGGCCCATATAGGAGGGGAAGCGGCGGCAGCGGAAGGGCGGGTGTCACCTGCGGGAGGCGGCGCCGGGAGCTGACATGCTGCCGGCGGGCCGAGGCAGGAGGCGGCGGCGGCGGGGCTGGTTCCGGTACGCCGGGATGGAGGGAGAAGCTTCCGCTACCGCCGGCCTGACCTCCCCCGGGGAGCGGGGGCGGCGCTCCGCGGCCGGCGCTGCTGCCACCAGCGGCCGCGCTGGGCCGGCGGAGGCTCGGCCTCGGGCAGGGGTGCGTGCCCGCCGTGTGTCAGCACTCGCTGTGTGAACGCGGGTCTGCACGCCGCCCACGGCACGTAGGCCTGTAATATCTGCGTGTATGCACAGAATTTGACGTACCACAGAATCGTTAGGGGTTGGGAGGCACTTCTGGAGATCATCTCGACCTACTCTCCTGCCAAGACAGGGTCACCTGGATCACGTAACACAGGAACGCGTCCAGGTGGGTTTGGAATGTCCTCAGAAAGGGAGATGCCACGGCTCACCTGTTCTAGTGCTCTGCCACCCTTAACGTGGCGTTCTTGTCGAGGTTGAACTTACTGTGTTTTAGTTTATGGCCACTGCCCCTTGTCATGCCATTGGGCAACACGGAAAAGAGTCTGGCACAACCCTGTTGGCACTGTCCTTGAAGATATTTATATTTATATTTATATTTATATTTATATTTATATTTATACATTACTGAGAACCCCTTCACTTTTCTCTGAACTAAACGGGCCCAGCTCCTGCAGTTTCTCCTTACAAGAGAGATGCTCTGGACCCATCATCATCTCTGTGGCATCTGCTGGACCCCCTCCCTTAGGTCATTGCCTTATAATGTTCACATAAGACGTATAAAATATGTGCATGTTTTTCAGGAACTAATACAATTTTTTTTTTGTGCTACACTTTGAGAAGACCACTTCCCATTGGTCTCAGATTATATGCAAGACAGTGGCTGAGGACTGGATTAGCAAAGCAACACAAGCTTAGAGACCACTAAGAGCAGTCTTCCAACTTTTCTTCTGTCAGCATCATCTTCCCACCAGCACTTTCCAGAAAATACTTGTTTTCTGCTTTAATTCATTGTACATCTTTTCTGTTTTAATTCATTGTACATCTCAAAAGAGGGCTCATATGGGGCCTCTGACCCCCTATGCCCTCCTGCAGACACTTACCTCTAACTGCAGTGTGTTGAACGTCGATGCAGGTGCCCTGGTTTGTAAATCCTTGCTGGAGGCTGCACTGCTTTAATTAAGACTGCTTAGTGCCTAGAAAAAGCAATTTGTTTCAGTGTTCAGTTCTAAACAGTTGACTTAGCTATACAGTCTTAGATATGTAGTTTAAATATATGTGCAATTTTTTCTTTAGTAAAAGGTGTCTGGGAAAGGAGAAGGCAAGTTGTAGGTAGAGTATATATGGCTCAGTACTAATATTAAATAACAAAGGGCAGGAAAAGAAATGCACAGTATTTTATATTGTGTAGCGCATGTTTTGGCCTTTTGCCCAGGGATGAGTTATGCTAGGATTAAAATACCCATGCTGCTATTATTTTTGTTTGTTACCTCTATTATTAGTCTTCAGCAGCTATGTAAAATTGTTTCCTATGAGAAAGGTACTAAATATACCTTTGGATAAAAGCAAAGCAATAGAATATTTTGTTTGGATTTATACTTCAGTGAACTTCATCAATATAAACCACAGCAAATCTTCGCAAAAAAAAAATTGGTGAGGCCTTTTCTGCTCTGTTGGGAGAATGGGTTGAAAAGCAGAAGACAGCTGGGAGTAGCTCTTGGTGACTGTTCAAGACTGTGTGAACAGTAGACCTGTCATCCTGGTATATGGACTGAGTTTAACAGTGCCTGCTCTCCACTTGTGTAGCCCAGGTGTTGCTTTAGGGCTCCTCCAGTTAGCATGATAATGGACATAAATTCATTCTTTGTGCCTTAGCCTTTGGTTTGTGCCTGTCCCAGCTGTCTGCCAGTGGTGGCTCACACACTCCCTCCTCCCACAGACTGCTAAATGTTATTTCAGTTAGGAAAAATAAAAACAACATTAAAAGAAAATGAAAGTCCAAGTCAAATCTTCAAACCAATCTGAACTCAATAAATGCTGGCTGCCTTTAACTTCTCCAATGTGTGTCCTTCCCACACAGGCTGCGGTACTTCAAGAACTGCTCCAGAGTGGAGCCCTTCCAGGGGTCCAGGGCTCATGGCAGGAGCCTGCTCCAGAACAGGATTCTGATGGGATCACATGTAACTTTGGACATCCACCTGCCCCAGCATGGGATCCTCCATGGGCTGTCAGTGGTTCTGTGCTCTACAGTGGACTCCTCCCCAGGTCACAGTCGCTTGTACTCAAGTTCACATTGGAGTTCCAGCCTGTCCAATGTGACAGCACAGGAGCACAGATTGCCCTGGGCACCCTCCAGCCCAGGCACGTTGGCATGGCTGTCTCCAAAGTGTTCCAGGCACAAAATGCCAAGGTGACCACCAGTGCAGCCAGCAGCAAAATCAGAGCAGCCACTAACAAGCACTGGGTTCCAACAGGCAGACAGGAAAGGGAGCCCCATGGCAAGCACTGTAGCCTGCCAATTAATAGCTAAACAGCAGCAACAGGTACAAATTCATTGTAGCACATTCAGTGAAATCTGCCCCTTCATGCACTACACTGGGTGCCAAAACAACTGGTATGGTATAACTGCAGCTGTTCTTTTTTTCATTTTAATCACTTGTTTTTCTGGAGTTTTATTTTGTCTCTCCTTGTTTTGTCTTCATTTGACCTTGCAATTCATTATTACTATTTCTAACTTATTAAACTGCTGTTACTTACCTCAGCCCATGAGTTTGTTTCTCAGTTTTACACCTCCAGTTTTGTCCCACTAGGGTGGGGGAGTGAGCAGGACTAAGCAGCTGTGTTTTTCTTAGTTGCCAGCTAAGGTTAAACCACAAGTGTGTTTGTTGTAAGTATATTTGGTACGATTATTTTACCTTCAAGTAGATTGCACAATCACAGAATCCATTAGTTTGGAAAAGACCTCCAAGATCATCAAATCCAGCTTTTTACCAAACACCACCATATCAACTAGCCCATGGCACTAAGTACCACACCCAGCTTTCCCTTATACACCTCCAGGAATAGTGACTCCACCACCTCCCTGGACAAGTCATTCCAAGGTCTAATCACCCCTTCTGTGAAGGAATTCTTCCTAGTGTCCAATCTAAATCCCCCCTGAAGCAGCTTAAGACTGCATGGTCTTGTCCTGTAAGTGGTTCCCTGGGAGAAGAGACCCCACCTGCTACAGCCTCAGGTCAGGGAGTTGCAGGGAGCAATAAGGTACCCCCCCTGCCAGGCCTCCTTTTTTTCCAGGCTAAACGCACCCAGATTCTTCACCTGCTTATCATCAGACTTGTGCTCCAGACCCTTTGGCAGCTCTTTTTTCCCTCTGGACATGCTCCAGCCCCTCAATGTCCTTCCTTGAATTGAGGGACCCAGAGGTGGACACAATGCTCTAGCTGTGGTCTCACCAGTGCCCAGCACAGGGGTACGGTCACTGCCCTGTCCCTGCTGCCCCTCTGTTGCTGACACAGGCCAGGTGCTCTTGGCCTTCTTGGCCACCTGGACACCGCTGGCTCATGTTCAGCTGCTGTCAACTAGCACCCCCAGATGCTTTACAAACAGGCAGCTCTGCCCCAGCCTGCAACAATGCAGGGGTTTTCATGGTCTTGTTGAATCTCAGACCACTGGCCTTGACCCATCAATCCAACTTTCCAGATCCCTCTGCAGAGACTTCCTACCTTGTAGCAGACCAACACACCCACCCAAATTGGTGGTGTCCATGAATTTGCTAATGGTAAATTCAATCCCTTCGTCCAGATCATCAGTGAGGATGTTACACAGAACTGGGCCCAGCACTGATCCTGGGGCCACCACCAGTGACCAGAGGCCAGCCGGACACAGCACCATTCAGCACCATTCTCTGGGCCCGGCAACCAAACAGTTCCTAACCCAGCCAAGAGTGCTCCTGTCCAAGGCATGGGCTGCCAGATTTTCTGAGGAGATGGTACCAAAGGCTTTGCTGAAGTCCAGACCACAGCCTTTCTCTCCTCGCCCTGATGGTCACCTGGTTATAACTGGAGATTTTTATGCCACTGGTACCTCAGAATTACTTTGTACAGCTGGGTCATCAATAGCAGACATAATGTGTATCAGAAGTTACAGTATTTCTGAAGTTGCTGCATGTATAAAATTTTTATCACTGTAGTAGGCAAGTTCCAAGGTAATTATGCTGTCAGAGTGCTATGGGGGTGAGGGCACCAGGCAGGGCAGGACAGGGCTTTACCAGCTGTGACCAGAGACAAACTTCACCACATCCCAGTTGTTCACAAATGTCTTTATTACCTAAACCTACACATTTATGTCTGTCTGTTTCAAGAAGTTCTTCAAAAGTCCCCCAAAGATTTGCAGTATCTGTAGGCAGAAGGAGAAATTCTTTCTATTGTTTCAGTCTTCCATTTGAAGTTGAAACATACTTCTCCCAAAGCACCACCTGCTTCAATTTCTGAACCATGCAATACAGTCTAATCAAGATCTCATTCAAAAAGAGAATTATGTAAGTACCATAACAAAGCTTTGGGATTTGCTATTTTAATAATCTAGGCATAACTTTTTAGATACAAACATAGAGGGAGAGTTTAACCAATTTTTCATTATAGTAGACTTTTTTTTTCTAATAGCCTGCAAGAGCCAAACAAATTTTAAATTACTATGGTAATTTAAATGAGATTTAAATGAATGATGAAGGGAAGCAGAGGGTGCTTCTGGTCTATACAAGGGTTTTAACACTGAGTGTCACTGTTGCTTCATGAAAAGCAAGCACAGTAACCACCTGTTGTAGAGTAAAAGCATAATGAAATATGACACGACCAAATATCAGCTGTGAAATCTTCACTACATAAGGCAGATGTAACTAACAGTTCATTTCTTCATTAGCAATATTTGTATTTCATGAAATTAGAAGTCATAAAACCAGTAATCTGAAACGCCTGAAAGCTAGTACAATTTAATCTTGGAATTAAGCATTAAAATCCCCTCTACTTATAATAGTAAGGGTTTATTACACACATAGCAATAGATTATTATACTTTTCATTGTTATCTCTGCATATTTAAATAGGCCACAAGGACTGGTGACCCAAGGTAAGTATGATATTTAAGTTTGAGCTGTCAGGGAACACAAGAAATTTTTAAGTTACCATGTTGTATCTAGTCCTGATACCCCTTAAGTGCATGTTCATCATTTCAAGACTGATCTTTAGAAAACTGGGTGTATAATCTTTGGCCATATTGCCAGTGTTGGGAGATAGTAGTTATTTAACTTAAATAAGTAAGTTTAAAGTAGAATTAGTTTCATTGAGTTATGAACTTATAACACTATGTGATTTGGTATGTTTATTCCTTTTACATAGCTTTGCTTGCTTAACATCAGTAGCTTTGAGTGATGTGTTAGGAATGTCATTATGAAATAGATGGAAGAAAATAGCAGAATTTCCATCTTGGGTGTAGATACAGATTTCATTTTCTTTTGTAAAATCCTAGTTGTTTCACTATTCGTGCTGGTTTTAGCTGGAATATACTTAAATTTCTTCACAGTAGTTTGTAAGGCACTGTGTTTTGATTGGTGACTGAAACAGTACATGGATATTTTGGGTTTTGCTGAGAAGGGCTTGCAGAGATACAAAGGCTTTTTCTGCTTCTCTCTCCATCCTACCAGTGAACAAGGAAGGAATTGGGAGGGGACTTAGCAGGGACAGGATACTGCAGACCAGGGATTCAGCAGTGAAGTGGAGGGAAGATGAAGAGGGACATTCAGAGGGGTGGCATTTTCCTCTCAAGTCACCATTATGTGATGGAGCCTTGCTTTCCTGGGAATGGCTGAACACCGCCTGCCCATAGGACAGGAATAAATTCCTTGTTTTGCTTTGCTTGCACAATTACCTATTAAAACATTTTGATCTCTACCCAGGGGTTTTCTCAGCATCACCCATCTGATTCTCTCCTCCATCCCACAGGGAGCAGTGAGTGAGGGGGCTATGTGGGCTTCAGCTGCTGGTTGGGGTTGCACCTGGACAGTGCCCTTGGTCTACATGGGTATGAATGGAGGTTCCTCAGTTCTCCATTCCTGAAGACCTACAATTTTTAGCAAGCTCAAAAGTGGCACCACTATGGAACAGTAAGGTATTGTTGGTGGAGAGTAGATCTGGTAAGCTAAAAGACTGGATTATTATTATTATTAAAAGACCCACTCCCTGGATTATTCTCACTTCTGCACAGGCAGAGTACTGGAGGGGAGAAAGTACCCTTCCTCCTGGCTGGATCTAGCTCAGAGAAGAATATGTAGTTTCTCGCAACAATAAGGAGAGACAGAGTGTCCACTGCGCTGCACTGGATGAGCAGTGATAAGGAACTTCAGGCACAGGAGTGAGGAAAAAGGGAAGGGAGGAAAGATAAAAAGGACAGAGCAGACAGCTTCCTTCAGACTCTGCTTTCAAATACACATTTGAAAACCAGTAAGATAGGTTACCTCTTACAGTAAGCCCGGAGATAAAACAATTCAAGGGGACTAATGCCTTATGGCCATTATCCTGAAAACATAATAGGGACTCTTAGTATGTGCAGTGTTGGAGGTTTGTATTTTTTGAGGATTCGGTGGAAAAGCTGGCAAGATTTCTGAAGTCATTATATGTTTGATGAGTTACATAATAAAACTTCTAAAGATACTCTTCTGGAAAAAACTGATTCTTTGGAGGACTTGAAGAATACTTTAAAGGATAAGTTCCCTCAACACCAAAGCTGCATATGAAAATACAGAAGAATTTTCCAGCATAGAGATGAGGTAAGGCCTTCTCTGAAAACAGAGCTCACACCCAGTAACAGATTACAATTTCAGACATAGCACAAGCGAAAATTGAAACATCATAGAATCTGTAAGGACATCATCTAGAATTTCAGTCTAGTAAAATTCTGATTTAATATCCTTTTCCTTTATAGGATATTAAGTAAGGAATACAAAGTCTACCTACTTTTAACTGACTTGCATACGTATTTGAAAATGGCAATCAGGATCTGGATGTTCTTGATTTGGTTTTTTGGCTGGTGTTCTGTTGTGTTTGCACTAAGTACAGTATTTATATATTATCAAATACCGTATCCTGCCAGTACAGTAAGATAGCAAAAGTAGTTCCCATTATGAAAAAATTAATTTTTTTAATAAAGTACCTGATTTTGTACACTAATAAGAAATTTTTAAAAATATGTTTTAGTGTTTGTCATGGTTTAACCCCACCAGCAGCCCAACCCCATGGAGACAGTTCCTCACTGCCCCACCAACAGGATCGGGGGAGAGTCAGAAAGGGGCAGAGCTACAAAGCTCGTGGGTTGAGATGCAGGCAGTTTAATTGGGAAAGCAAAAGCCACACACCCAAGCAATGAAAACCAAGGAATGAATCCCCTGCTTCCCATTGCTGAGAAGATGTTCAGCCATTTCCAGCAGAGCACAGCCCATCACGCTAAGGGTGACCTGAGAGGACAAACACCATCAGTCCAAACATTCCCTTTTTCCTCCTCCTTCCCCCATTTTATACACAGAGCCTGATGCCACAAGGTCTGGAATATCCCTTTGGTCAGTTTGGGGTCACCTGTCCAGGTGGTGTCCCCTCCCAGCCACCCACACACCCCCAGCCACTTTGCCAGCATGGCAGTGTGAAAAGCAGAAAGGGCCCTGACTGTGCAATCCCTGCTGAGCAACAACTAATGCATCTTTGTATTATCAGCTCTG